GGTCCTCTGGCGGGTTAGGAGAGACCACTTTAAACTGGCCGTTTTCTTTACTGGGGGAACCTTAGAAACCAGCCATGGTCTGGGTGGTCGCTCCTGGGGTCACACAGCGCGGCAAGGGACCATTCATGCCGCCGGGATGATGGACATCTCTAACGACCCTATTAACAAGCCTCGCCTTAACTACCGAGGAGGGGTAATTAAGTCATTATACAGTTCCACCACCAGAGTAATGTCTCCATTACGAACAATATCTGCATTGTTCCGTGTTGTGCATTGTGGAGCCTCAAGTGCCTAATCCTGAAGCAGTTTAATACACATCCATTAAAAAAAAACATTCAGGACCTCGAATCTGCGTTCAATACCTCAATACCTTTTTTGGAGGACTATATAACCTATATCACTAAATCTTAACTTGTTCGTACAATCAGTAGTGTCAGCACACCATAGTTAACCCCCCCCCCCTGTCAGTAGTGTTAGCACACGCTAGCCAACACTACGGTTGAGAGGCGGGACCAAAGAGCCAGAGCTCAACCCCCGCAAGCACAATTAGGGTGAGTACTATTAGGAATCATCAGAGTCCACAAGTCCTCAAAACTACAAAACAATACAACTAGTCTAACCAATTTAACTTTAAAGCCAATTTAACCCTACAAGAACACAAGGTTCAGGAACCAACCTCCTCCAGAGGCCCTCTATTGAGCGTTCCCGGTACTATGCGAATCAATAACTTCCTACGGAGGGCGATTATATCCACATCAACGCTTAGCTAATTCAGATCATTATGTTGATCAATGTGTAAGTGGTATGGTGTGGAACTATCAGGGTTGGGAGGAGGGGGGGGTGGAAGAGCCAAGCCATTACGACTAAATAGCGCTTGGACGGGGTCTGGATAAGGATTTGGGATGGGACGAAGGGAAGGAATGGTGCCCAAGCACTTGTGGACGGTCGGGGATTGAACTCCGACCTGCATGAAACAACCTCCACCCCACTCATCATCTGTTGTTGTTTTAGATTTAGCTACTTAGAACGAGGTGTCCATGTAGCACGGGCTATGGTGAGCCCGTAATCATCATCTTTCTCGAGATGATAATATACATCCCAAAAGAATTGAGCAATTTAGACCATTAGAATAGACCCTCTATTACAGGCTTTCAAGGGGCTTGCAAACCTCTACAGTACTTATTGCCGTGGGCTTTCCTTCTGCTAATTACCGACATTCGTCTTGTACATCAAACTACAGTATTCGTTGAAGTAATAGTGACGCAGATACAAAATTTAAGTACATTAGCAGGCAGTGTTTTTTTCCCCCACGTTGTTTAAGATTCAGGTAATGGAACAAAAAGTTGCAAGTAGCACGGGCTATGGTGAGCCCGTAGTGGACTTACCTGCCACAGGAGCGAGGGTGTTACTGTTAATCATGTTTTTTCACGATGCACTACGGTATGTGAGGTGAGGGAAGGTGAGGTGAGGTTAGGTTAGAGGTGAGGTGAAAGGAGACTTATCCTCAGTAATCTGTGATCCACATTGTCCAACGTCTTAAGAAGTCTTGGGTAAAACCTTTACACAAGTCTAAATCAGATAACTATCTTCATGTTACCCAGCCTGATAGCAGCAATCTTAAGACTTCAAAAATACAAAAAAGATATACATCGCACCTTTAATTCAGACTGAAAATTTTGCTATCAATTAGTCCCGTTAAACTAACCTCCCGTTAAAAATATATATCTTGCCTGAGCTATTTCTGCCAAGAATGTTAAGACTCCTGTATTATGCTATTCCTGTCAAAGAATATGAAGTGACGTCAGCACCCCCAGTCACATCCTGAGCCGCTGACGTCAGCACAGGTACTCGACCCTCTCAAGTGAGTGTTAAGTGTCATAAGAGCCTCCGGGAGGACGTATTGCAACGATACCTCACAGTGCAATAGCGTATTGCAACGATACCTCACAGTGCAATAGCGTATTGCAACGATACCTCACAGTGCAATAGCGTATTGCAACGATACCTCACAGTGCAATGGTGTATTTGCAACGATACCTCACAGTGCAATAGCGTATTGCAACGATACCTCACAGTGCAATGGTGTATTTGCAACGATACCTCACAGTGCAATGGTATATATTACAAAAGGAGAAAAACACTTGCAAAAGCACCGCTCCAGTGCCAGGTAAGTCCACTACGGGCTCACCATAGCCCGTGCTACTTGGAACTTGTTCCGAGTAGCTGAATCTATAACAACAACAACAAAACACTTGCCATATTGCTGCAATTGTCGAGTCATCCACAATGCTGGTTCCTCTCTCTCTATCCCATGAAGCCCCGAGTGACACTCCAAGCCGGCTCCCATAAGCAGGGTAAACAAGGCTTCGAAGGAAGGCAAGATGGTACTGCAGAAACCAGGAAGAAACAGGCACGGAGACCATTAAGAAGTCTCTTTACGTCGTCTTAACGTCTTACTAAACGTAAGACGTTTCTTACCGCCCAGTGGCGTAAGAAACGAAGCCGGAAAAGTGTACCGTAGAGGTAATGAGGTGCAGGACAGCGGTGTGCATTCTGCGGTCGGTACATTGATCTTGGAATACCTCAAAAAGTTGAGGACAAGAGGACTGAAGCTCTTGAAAAATTAGCTATGGCGAACAGATGGGGTGCTGTGGGGGGAGTGCTGTGGGGGGGGAGTGCTGTGGGGGGGGGGGAGTGCTGTGGGGGGGGGGAGTGCTGTGGGGGGGGGGGAGTGCTGTGGGGGGGGGGGGGGGAGTGCTGTGGGGGGGGGGAGTGCTGTGGGGGGGGGAGTGCTGTGGGGGGGAGTGCTGTGGGGGGGGGGTGTGCTGTGGGGGGGGGGTGCTGTGGGGGGGGAGTGCTGTGGGGGGGGGAGTGCTGTGGGGGGAGTGGGTGGGGGGGAGTGCTGTGGGGGGGAGTGCTGTGGGGGGAGTGCTGTGGGGGGGAGTGCTGTGGGGGGGAGTGCTGTGGGGGGGAGTGCTGTGGGGGGGAAAGAGTGCTGTGGGGGGGGAGTGCTGTGGGGGGGGGGGAGTGCTGTGGGGGGGGGAGTGCTGTGGGGGGGGAGTGCTGTGGGGGGGGGGGGGGGGAGTGCTGTGGGGGGGAGTGCTGTGGGGGGGATGCTGTGGGGGGGAGTGCTGTGGGGGGGAGTGCTGTGGGGGGGAGTGCTGTGGGGGGGGAGTGCTGTGGGGGGGGGAGTGCTGTGGGGGGGGAGTGCTGTGGGGGGGGAGTGCTGTGGGGGGGGGAGTGCTGTGGGGGGGGGGGGGAGTGCTGTGGGGGGGGAGTGCTGTGGGGGGGGGGAGTGCTGTGGGGGGGGAGTGCTGTGGGGGGGGGGAGTGCTGTGGGGGGAGTGCTGTGGGGGGGAGTGCTGTGGGGGGGGAGTGCTGTGGGGGGGGAGTGCTGTGGGGGGGGGGGGGGGAGTGCTGTGGGGGGGGGGGAGTGCTGTGGGGGGGGAGTGCTGTGGGGGGGGGGGAGTGCTGGGGGGGGGGGAGTGCTGTGGGGGGGGGTGCTGTGGGGGGGGAGTGCTGTGGGGGGGAGTGCTGTGGAGGTGTGCTGGGGGTGTGCTGTGGAGGGTAGTGCTGTGGAGGGTAGTGCTGTGGAGGGTAGTGCTGTGGAAGGTGTGCTGTAGGGAAAAGAATATAAGGCAGAGGATGACGTATTACGGATGGAAGAGTCTCAGAAAAATGAACTCTCCACTAATGACGACAGTGATCAACCCCGTGTGGTGGAAAATGTTAACGGTGAAGCTCAGGAAAAATAGTTTACAAAAATAGAATTGGAAGACATTGTTAAGAATAGAGTTACCTGTGATGGTAGTAGGGGGGAGGAATGGGGTGGACAAGTGCTCAGCAAGACGAAATGTTAAAATATTGGGAGACTGTGGCCAAGGCAGGTGGTGGTGATGAGGTCCTCCAAAGGATACCTGATCAAGCAGGCTGTGACTCATACGTCAGGCTGCGAGCAGCCGCGTTCAACAGCCTGGTTGATAAGTCCAGCAACCAGGAGGCCTGGTCGACGACCGGGCAGCGGGGACGCTCAGCCCCGGAAGCACCTCGAGGTAACCTCAAGGTAAGGTAAAGCGACGTCCATCAGAAATATCTTTACTGCTTGCTTGATACCTGGTTGATGGGGTTCTGGGAGTTCTACTCCAAGCCCGGCCCGAGGCCAGACTTGACTTGTGAGAGTTTAGTCCACTAGGCTGTTGCTTGGAGCGGCCCGCAGGCCCACATACCCACCACAGCCTGGCTGATCCGGAACGTCTCTTAGAAAACAGTGGGAATAGTACCAAAATAAGACATGACAGGGGCAGCATAAGCAATAAGAGATCTCACAGTATGCCATGTGATTACTATTGGAAATGTGAAATGTAGAATATGATTAATAATTGTGTACTGTATGGGTTTGTGAGCCCCTTGAGGGACCTTGTATAGACGAGGGGTAGAAATAGCCTAAGCTACTCCTTAGATGCAGACGAGGAGTCACATTAACGTGGCTGAAGTATGTTGACCAGACCACACACTAGAAGGTGAAGGGACGACGACGTTTCGGTCCGTCCTGGACCATTCTCAAGTCGATTGTGAATGGTCCAGGACGACCAATCGACTTGAGAATGGTCCAGAACGGACCGAAACGTCGTCGTCCCTTCACCTTCTAGTGTGTGGTCTAGTCAAGATACTCCTTAGATGTATCTTAGATCTCTTGAGATGTACTTCCTTTCTCTCAATAAACTTACTTGAACATATGTCCATCCAAATATTGGAGCTGGCGTCGCGTCTATCACTGTGCGCCCCATCCTTAAACCCACCCTACAAGGTGCTCGGGGCACACCTATCCATTCCTATGCCCCCCCTCTACCTGCACAGACGCCCAACCAATGCCCCAACATGCCCCCCGACCGGAGCCTCGCCCACGCTGATCTCACCCCCACCCCCCATACACCCTACATGGGGGCGGGCGTTCATGGGGGTGGAGCCCCAAGAGCGTCAACAGCGGTGCTCGGGTCAGTTATTGTTTGGGCGTCGTGGTGAGTGGTGGTGCGTCGCTCGAGCTCCTTCCCTCCCGTCACTGGGAGACACACACACACACAGCTCATCTCCCGCGCTGCCTCCCTCCCTACCTCCCTCTCCTGCACGCCTCACCCTAATGTAAATCACAACCCGATAATATGAAGTGAAAAATCAGGTGAAAATCAGTGAAAAAATTGATCCATGATCTAATCCAACGAAGGATACAATCTGCATATCCAAATACTGTGAATTAATCCTCAGAGAGGGTGCAGGAAGGACCTCCTAGCAGGAGTGGATTGTTGCTCCTGACGTAGCTGCACCAGGAGGGGAAATAATGGGGGCTGAGAGAGCAGAGAACTTCGCCCTGAGGTAGGTCCTCATGCTCCAGCGTCTCCTTTACTACAACTTTACAGTCTTGGTGAAGTATCTTTAAGGTCTCCTTACACCGAGGCCACTTCATAAACCTACATTATAAATAATATTATTATTATTATATTATATAATATACACACACCTCGACCACGGTGGTCGAGAGGATAAAGTTCCAGGTAGGTGCATAGTGCTCCTGGCTGTCTGGGTTCGAATCCTTCTCGGGTGTGAAGTTTTCATATATATATATATATATATATATATATATATATATATATATATATATATATATATATATTATATATATATATATATATATATATATATATATATATATATATATATATATATATATATATATATATTAGTTGAATATGGCAAAGGGTTTCATAGACAATATTGACAGACAATATTTTTTGTTTTTCTTCACTGTGAAGAAAAACATAAGAAATATTGAGAAGATTCGTGTTAGAATCATTAATCTTACCGTTTCGGTCATATTCAACTGCATATGTTTACAAGAAAGACTCCTACCAAAATATATTTTTACAATATATAATTTATATATTATACAAAATGTTGGTGTTGACCATATAGAGAGTATCAATGGTAACAGACCATAGAGGCAGTAATACCTTATAGTGCAGGTTCATACCTCCTTTTTGTTACACATCCCCCAGGAAGCAGCCCGTAGCAGCTGTCTAACTTCCAGGTACTATTTACTGCT